CCACAGAGTGCTGTCCTTTATGCAAATGAAAACTTCCTTGTAGATGCATATGCCATTGTTAGTTAACAAGTACAATGCTAGGCAGATATAATGACAACCAAGGTAACTTATTTGGTTGCTGTCTTGAGGGATTATCATGATGTGAATGGTAATTTGCACTACACACTAGGAAACCCCTGACATAAGGAAGCATCTCCAATGTAAAGGAGCTTTTCAGCTGGTATGCATTCTGCTGAGATCATGCATAAGGTGTCTGGCTGACATCAGCTACGGAAGAAAGTGAGTGTGTGCTGTTTTCTAGGGATGTGAAAAGGTGAATTCTAGAATGTTACTTTCAGAAGTAGCAGTAACTGAACATATTGCTCACTGGCCACAGTTTTATCATTGGACTTGAACTGGGAACCAGTTTATAAGGGATCTTATACCAAGCTTGTGAGTAGAAGTAGCACTATAAGCATTTTTTAAGCAATGCCAAATCAGTGGATACAGATCACTGCCTGTGCTCAGCAAAATAAGGAAGTATATTTAGTTTTAGCTGATATATTTTATTGTGGCTCAATTTGTAGGTCTTCTAATGGGTCTTATAAAGCCTGACATAAAATCATTCACGTTTACAACAGACTTCATAATGTGAGCATGAACCTGTGGCTACTTTCATGCAGTTTTACAAGCTGCCTAAACAAATGTTTTAAGAGACGTTTAACTGTTTTTTTATATAAAGCTGCTTGATCTGTTTCAAACCATCAAACTTCATTCATTAAATGTCTTATACAAGCAATTTGTAGTTATATGCACATTTCTAATGTGAGAATGGTGAATTCTGTTATTCAGACTAAAATAATAGGCTGGTAGCAGATTTTAATCAGGCTGCTTTTTCTAATGCTTGTACTTCATTCTAAAGAACAGTGGAATGTACTAAAACTACACAAAGCCAAGTCATGGAGCTTTCCACTTAGTTTTTCATTGACACAGGCAAAACACGCATTGAAGGCACTGGATAAGAGTTTCTCTGTATAGCTTATATGCCTGCGTTCATAGAAAAGATACATACACAATAATCTTAATTACACATGTAGGTCTACAAATGAGATATAAAGCCAACCATGTAGACAGTGCGTAAAATAACTATTGAATTAAACACAGCATAGATTTCTCTGTGTGCTAAATAAATAGTAATTCGGTGTTCAAGCAATTATATAGTACCCGTAAGAGTTATTACCTAGTAGATAATAAAGCACATGTGTTACTACTTTTTAAGCTGTATCCCTTCATCTAAGCATTGGCAAGCTTAATTAGCAGTGTAACCGAGTACCTTAGAAGATTATTAATTGCTGGAACCCATGAAAGATTTGGTTTCCCTGTACATAACCATGTTTGAGGCAGAGCAGTTTGGGTAGTCCTACAGCAAGTCTCAGTGTCCACAATTCTGTGGCTGAGATGGATTGTCAGAATGATTTGTTACTAAACACTGTGTTCAGTTTTACAGTCATTAAGTACTAGTCTCTTCTTAGCATTAAAACAAAAAGGTTTTGTATTTAATACCTGTATTTACATTAGGATCTCCAAAGAAGTGTCTTCTGCCTCAACATGAAACAACCTTTGTAAATAGCTTTCTTCTTTAATTAGGCCTGTTTTGTATGCAAACTAAAAAAAAAATATAAACAATGAAGTAATGAAGGGTAGTCATGTGTTGTGAGAAAGTTAGCCTGCTGGAAGAAATCAGAAGACCATCTATGGGGTGGATAGAGGACAGGCATATTATCTTCCTAGTTTGATGTACTTTCTTCTGCTATTCTTCTGAATATTTTCTGTTAGATGCACTGGTATTTCTTATGGCAAAGCCTTTCAAACCTCTATAAAAGAGGATAAAATTTTGAAGGATAAGTTTTATGAGCATATTAAGATGGGATAGCAATTTATTATGTTGACAAGTATCTCAGTTATAAAAGCAGTAAGAAAATTGTCCTATAATTACATGAAAAGGAGACCTATTTTGCAGACTGTGGGAGCTGCAGGGCAGCTGGCAGGATGAGGGCTGCCTCTGCCCATCCATGTTACCGTTACTGCTCCCTGAACCAGGATGTGCCCTGTATTCACAGGGCAGGCTGAGCACCTCCTTAGCTCCAACAGCCAGAAGCCTGTAAGGTTTAAGTTGGATGAAGTGATGTACCTGCATCTAGAAGTAGTAATGATTTCCTCAGATGCAGCTGTGAAACTTCATGACTATGAAATATTGAGAGTCTTTGGCACTATTGGCATAATCTCAAACATACCAGATAACAATGGTCCCACCTCCAAGGCTTCTCTTTCACTTCATTTTATTGTGCTAGGGACCACTTAAAAATTATCAGATTCACCCCTCCCCAGCTGCAAATCATATAATGCTTTATTTTAAACAAGCAGACTCAGTGTATAGAAGGCAACCACAATCTTATTAATCACATATTCACAGGCTCATATTTGAAGTATTTTCCAAATACTCCCTTGCTTCCTCTTCCTGTTATCAATTACTAGAAGATTATAATTATCTAAATCCATCCTGCAGCTGATTAGAAATAGTAGAGCAGTCAGCTAAACCAGAACATTTGGTGTAAAGCTGGCAGGTCACACCATCAAGCTGCTATATGATAATGCAAAAATATCTTGTATTTTCTGTACCTTGTAGCAGTTGTTTACACTATTTGAATAAAGATAACCTACAAGAACATTTAAAGAAAAATAGAAAGCATAATCTTCTTTTATCTCCATGCAGAGCAAGAGGAGGTTTATTTCAAAAGTGATTTCTTTTTTCTTGGTGTTCTCAAGCAATACGACTTTGCTATGGGACATCAGAGTATCGGAGCTTGATTAAGCCATTGAAGAGAAATGTGTTTTCCTCCCCAGTTCAGAAATGGGAAATGCATTCTGATGGCTGACACGAGAGTCCTGCTGTGTCTTGAGTTCAAAAGGCAATGACACCAACTACACCCGTTCCCCGCCCCCCACTCAGTCATTTGGAAAGAAGTCTTTCCCCAGTGTTAAATTTTATCACACAGAAAATCTGTGAGCTAACTTGTTGCCTAATACCAATTCAGATCAAGTAGTTTAGTTTTGTGCTGAAAGAGCCTTAAATAAGATTTCTCTTTTTTAACTCCACTAATGGCGAGTTGATCTGGTGTAATTTACACAGTCCTCTGATTCTAAGCTGTAATGTTTTATGTAGTGACATCTACAAAGCTGTACTATACCATTTGTCACTTTGTTACTGAAGACTTTGTGATACATGAGGTAATTTCATACACCTCCACACAAAGCAATCAATCTCCAAAATAGGATCCTAGGGTTGTTTTTGAAACTTCTTTTATCAAAATATGGGAGAATTTGCATCAGCCTTTCTAGGTTTTATATGGCAATAAAGATAACCTTCTCAAATACTTAAAACTGCTTGACAGTACTAGACTTTGTCATAAATGTCAATATTTTTCCCTACTCAAATGTCTTTGATTAGATGAGAGGCTGTTTCACAAGATCTATTTTGTATAAGATCTATTTTGTATATATGTGTTCTGCTTGCAACATGTTGCAACTGAGTCAGGTTGACTGGGAAGGGATCTGGGAGGGCAGGGCAGCACTCTTGAGATACAATTACCTAATACCAGGACTAATAAATGACAGAGATGCCATAAATTTCCTCTGTGGCCAGCAGCAACTCAGGTGATACCTGACACTGGAAGCACTGTGCCTGGCCGATTACCTGTAAGTACACCACTCTTATGCAAGGTCACCTGAGCTCCACTGAGATCCAGAAACTAGATTCCCCCCTTAAACATGCTATGTGATTCAACGTAAAGGCACGTCTGTGTATCTAGAACAAATCTTCCCACAGACTGCAGTTATAGCTGCCCAGTAGATTTCAGTATTTCATTATGGGAACAAGTGAAACATTTTCTATAGTAGTCTCGCTTGTGATGTAAAAGATCCTGTTTAATGGCATTGAAATATCTCTCTTTTATTTATTTATTTAGTCAGGACTCTTCCCACCGAAACGGGGCATAAAAGGGATACAGGGCTAACAGCATAAAACTGCTATGGGATAGTATGATAACCTATCGGAAGTACACAGCAAAGTCCTCTGCCTCAAGCTTTGGGGACATCATTCATGCAGACACAACGGGGTGTCCCAGTCAATTCTGCTAATGTGTTCCTGTGAATCCAACAGTTCCTGTTGTGCCCACTGCTATCTCCCCATGCTGCCACGGACCTTGCCCCAGCTGCCATTGCCAGTCCTTCCAACACCTCATGGAGGTGAAGGTAATGGATTGGTCTTCCCATAGGGTTTTCCACTGGGAAACTGCCCAGGATTGCCCCCACTTCTCTAGACCAAACACCGCAGTGACAGCACTCACTGAAGGAAGGTGCGAGCAGAGCTTGCCCGACCTCGGTTTTGGCTCTGCCATGGGGGAAGCGGGCTCAGCCCGAAACACAAACCAGGAGGTTTGTCAGAGAAGGCACCGATGGGCAGAGACTGCTCCAGCCATCAGCAGGCGCGGGAAGCGGGATAGCGCGTCGCAGCCGACAGCCGTGCCGCCAAATCCTGCTCGGCTATTGCAGGTCGCAGGGTATTCAGTGGCTTTCTGAAAGCCCAAGTTGCCACCTTCACTTTGAAGAGCCCCAATCTCAGATAAAAGAATCAACTTTTAGTTTAGCTTTATACATAAGTGCCACGTAAAGCCTTAGCAGCTCTCAAGGCCAGCAGGAAAACGGTTTAGGAAAGTTCAGCTGAGCAGCTGGGGCAGAGGCGGTTTTTACCCACCTCTGGCTGGCCTTCCAGAAGGACCGTGCGCTGTAGGAAGGCGATCGCGATCCGCGCCGTCCCACGCAACACCGCTCGGTAACCTGGCCGGGAGCAGGCGGGGAGCGGGCGCTCCGGGACACCTGCTCGCGGCACCGTGCCTCGCCACGCGGCTCCGCGGGGCTCAGCCGAGCGGGACGCGCTGCCCGGGCACCGCGCGGTCTCTTACCGATGATGATGGCACAGGCGCTGACCAGCCCGATCTCCTTCTTCAGCGCCACGGGCTCGGGGCCGCCGGGCGCGCTGCGCTGCTCCCCGCCGGCCATCGCTGCCCGCGCCGCTCTGCCCCGCTGCCGACCCTCGCGCATGCGCCGCCCCCCGCCCGGGACGGGTGTGAGGGTGCGGGGAGGGGGCACGGTCACCGCCTCCCAGCGGAGAGGGTCCCGTGGGGTCCCGCAGGGTCTCTGGCAGGCGGCAGTGCCCGCAGCGCTGCGGGTGTCCCGGTGTGCAGCGCCCCCCGGGGACCTGCGAGCGGGAGGGACAGCGGCGCTAACAGCAGGGTCTGGGGAGCGCTGCCCAGGCACCGCTTCGGGTGAGGGCTGTGACCGAGCGGCCGAGCTCCGTGCAGGGCTCGGCTTCACAGCGGCTCTGCACGTCTTGGTGGTAGTCTGCCTGCTCTGAAGCTTTGTTAGCGGCGGTAGCGCAGTAAGTTGAAGGAAAGACAGAAACAACCCCAAACACTTCATTGCTTGTGGTCGTTACTGACAGCGTGTGGCTAAGCATGTTTAACGTCACCAAGGCAATGAATGACTGCTGCGTTTCTGCGTTTGCTTTTCTGCTTAATCCCTTCTCTCCTCCTTCCCACTTTGTTTCAAACCTCCCCGTAAGGAGTTAAACCCCTGGCCCGTGTGCACAGCAGCCGCTGTGTACTGGAGGTGCTGGGGCTGAGGGACCTGCACCTGAGGGTGTCGTGTCATATGTCCACCCGTTCACCAGCCCACTCCCCCCGTTGCCCATGCTGGGTTGTTGATCAGGCTGCAGCCATCTGTTCACAGGACTAAGAAAACAATACCTATTTCTTTTCCTTACACAGGGGATGGACTATAAATGTTGGGATACTCTACTGCAGCAAGAAAGCAGGAGTATCAAAGTAAATGTAAGAAAATAATGTTACGTAGTAGTTCAGCGTGTTCTGTGAACAAGCCACCTTCATAAGAGTGTCAAAGGAGGGTGTCTGTTCTGCTCTCAGATGAAATCAGAAAGTTAAATCGTAGTTTGGGAACTTGGGCTCTTTCCTCAAGCTGTAAAATCAGGGCTTATTGATGGAGATCCCTGTTTCGATCCTTGTTTCTAAGTCAGAACGAGCACCTTCCTGAGAGCACCTCTGCATTCAGAGAGGATCCCCACATGGGTGACCTGTTCTGATAGTGCATAGGCTAGAGAAGTTTCACAAGATTATGTGATATCTGGAAGGTGTGGGAAGGAGAAAGTGTGCATCAGAGGGGTAACCAACATGGTAATGGAAACTGAGCATGGTGAAGTGATAGCAATGGGAGAAGGAAGGTCTGGCCCTTCACCTCAGTGAAGGAAGGTGAGAAGGTTCTGTGGCGCCATCAGTCTGATTTTGTTTGACTTTAGAATTAAAAGCATGACCTGAAAAGTGGTGAGTGGTTTGAGGAAATCAGTGGACTGTTCTTCCGAAGCTGATAATTGTAAGTGATTTTACTTTATAAGGCTGCTTTATACTGCTGCTGTTACAGAAAGGCTTATTGATTTTCAGAGGCTGAGACTTGTTTCCTAAATCGATCTATTGCTCTGTGGAATTGTTGTTTCTAAATGAACTGCCTCACTAAGTATTTTGAAAATGTCCTTTTATTGAATTGCAATGTACTTTTTATAAAGAAGCATTTTACAAGAAGAATTACTTTCTGAACCATGTAAACAGTGCTATTGTTTTCCTTTTAAAGTCAGGGAAATGCAAAGACTAAAAGCAAAGTCTCAGATTTCTTAAAGTAATCTGATGTTTTGGTTTTTCTTCTAGGTGGTGTAAATGATGGCTTCAGAGCTACGTTTTCCACTGGCAGCAACTCAAGTAACTTCTAGTACCTCTGAAAGACTCTATGTGCTGTTCTTCTATGGACAGTGGGGTCTACTCCAGTTGTCTATGGTGGTCTATTTCTTCTTAAAAGCTAAAAAAAATACATTGAACTTCATCAAAAAAATTAAGAAATATAGGAAAGAATGGTATTACTAACTGTGTTACTGACTGTATTGCTGAGTCCTAAGAGCCTAATGAAGTTTAGGATCAATTAGCCTTACCAGAATACCCCCAGATCTGTTACATGTCACATGACTGCACCTAGTTTCTTTGTTGGATAGAAATACATGGAATTGTGTGGAAGATAAAATCTCAGTCCTGGGATTAGGAAGGAACAGTGTGTGCTGGCTGTAGGATGATGAAAAGAATACTGGAACTCATTTAACTCTAGTAATCTTCAACTCAGCTGTGCAGTAGCTGCAGGATTTCTCTTTTTTTTAAACATTTTTGCTAGTTTATTGGACTTTGCAGGGCAAATGCTAAGTATGCATGTGTGCACTCTGCCTGCTGATGTAAATACTTTGTTCTGTAACCGTTCCCCTTGCTGAAAGCCACAAGGCGCAACTAGCTGACTTTACAGATACGTTTTTAAGTATTTTACTGGTAATTAGAAAGGAAAAACCTACCAGAAAAGCACCAGAAAACTCTCCTTAGAGCGAGGTAGTCAACAAACCATTAAAGCTAAGAAAAGCAGAGGAACCTTAAGAGCATTCTGTCCTCCTATCCAGGTTCACATTGGGTGCACTTTTGAACAAGGCTAAAAGAACAGAGCTGGTGCAGGAGAACCATGGAGTGAAATCTCAGCTATGTCCCAAGAAGACCTTTTGCAGCAGAAATACTAATGAACTGGCACACACGATTGTGGCTCAGCAAGGCCAGGCCTGTTGCACTTTACAATTTCAGCATGAGATTCTGTCCTGTGAATTTCGTCCTTGAGGGCAGCATCTGTACCCTTTCCCTTGCATGGGGCTGTTCCCAGAAGGAATATGCAGCCTCTGTGGCTGCAGCGTGTGATACCCAGGCAGCTGTGCTTACCAGGGCCACAACAAAGGCCTCTGACAGGGGCTCCCAATCTCTCTGCTGCCCACCCAGGTTGGGGGTCACTTTACAGATATCCATGTCAGGGAACCTGTGCCCTTACCGTTGGAGATTAGGATAAACTAGATGATTTTAAGGTCCTTTCCAACCCTAACTATTCTACAATTCTATGATTATTGCCTTTTTCTCAGGACACGTAGCATTATTTTGGTAGATGCTTTTTTGTGTACCTCTGTCAGAATGTATTTCCTAGGGCAGGCAGTAAGCTTGTAAGCAGTTCAGCTTAGTTATCAGGTAGTGTGGGTAATAAACAGAGTTGGCAAATGGGGTTGGGTAAGGCTGTGTTGGTAATGGAGGTTGATGGCGGCTGGTTTCACATGAGACTAAGTAAATGGCGTGTGGGGTAACAATTGTGTGTGAAGAATACAAAGCCAGGAAATCTGTCCTGGTAACTTAATTTAGGTTTGTAGTCCTGGACCCCTGTATAACACTTCATTATTCTCATTTGCCCTTGGGAAGAGGATAAATTCTTTACCTAAATCCATATAAAGGACATCGATTTACTGATTCTTTTCCCAGTGTGTGCATAAAATTTTGAAAAGGGAAGTAATTCATAAAGTGTTTTACTATTGCTGAATGAGTAAGCAGGTGGCTGTTTACAACAACAGCTTTTGATATGCCCACATCCATAGCAAAACATAGGCATGTAAAACAGCACAGGCCAGAAACCTGTTGGAAAAGACAGTGGGGACAAAGTTTGCCCACATTAACTGCCAAAAAATGCTCCTTTCTTTTTCTTAAGCTAAGTGCCTGCCTGCTTCTCTGTGTTTTTTGCATAAGGGTGAAGAAAGGACTTTTCTCATTTTGTGATAGTGTTGGCTGCTTATTTAGGTTGTATAGTCTGTCTTATTGTTCATATAATTCCAAAACAAGCAAGTCAGAGGGCATGTACATTCTAATTAGTAGTTATCTGAGACAGCTCTGAGAGCAAAGACTTCTTTCAAGTTGTTTTGGATCTGAACATACTGTATCTGCTTGAATGACGAAATGTTAGTAAGCAAAAAAGCCAGAGTTCTTTGTGGGAAGGCAATTGCTGCATAGCAACTGCACTGAGAAGACGCAATGAAGCTTGCATGTGTTCTCTTTTGTTGCTATTTTTGTCCTCATTTTCCCCATGCTCTGAAATGTACAGAAGTTATTGAAGTTGTTAGAACCAGTTATTTTATTCATTGCTACTTATGCTCTAAGAACCCAAAGTGAATGGTGTAGAAATAATAAACAGATTTTAAAGTGCCTTTTATGAAGGGATGTTGTGACTGAGTTTTCAAATAAATATTGTCTTTAATGTATGTGAAGTGTATGGGAAGAGAGCAAGATTAAAGAAATATGAAGCGTTTCCGTGATAGTAGATGTTCAGAAAGCTGTAGTAGAGGAAGTAGCATTAGTAAGTAGTAGAGGAAGCTGCATTAGTAAGTGACTCCCCAGTATGTAAACTTGGCATTTCTGGGGGAGTAGCTACTCTTCTCTGGAATAATGACAACAGAAAGAAGTTCGTTTAAATGTGGAACAGTTCTGGAACAGGTCAGAGAGGCCAATTAGCTCATGCAAACTAGCTAAGCTTTTAGGAAGACTCTCTCATTAAGGGACAGGAATGTAACCAAAAGCTGGAGTTCGCAGATACATAATCTTCAGGCTTGCAACAGTGGCTTTTGAGCAGGCTGAGCTTTAGGAATATGTTCCAGGCTTGATGAATGAGGAACTGGATGAGATATTTGGAAAAGCAGGCTGAGAATCAGGTCTTCTGTGAAGCTCTTTGATCTGAGTTATTTCTGACAATGCACTATACCTTCTGAATTCTGTTATGCAGTGCATTCGTTGGGCATTGGGAAGAGCCTTAGTAGGTAAGGCTGTTCAATTGGACTGATGCCACTCTTCCCTTCTGCAAGATCTGGGAATGTTAATCCCATGATTTAGGAAGCTCAGAAGATTCTTTAGGCAGTATTAGTGTGTTTCAAGCCCCTCTGGGAGGAATGTGAGTCTTGTACAAGCAGAGGCTCGCCTGGTGTCAATAATTCTCTTTCCACAGCCTCTACAAAGGTCAGTAGTTTGGCAATGTATGGAAAAAATCAAGGCCATATACTTCACTGTGCTTACAGCTCCCTTCGAGCAGCAGGCTTTTATATATAGCTTCTGATTACCAGAATGTTTGCTGTCTTCTATGTAAATTATTCATGAGGTGTGAACTATTGGACACTTAGATGTCTGTGTAGAAACTATTTCTAAATTTTCACCTGTGTCAAGTGGGCCATTGTATGTTCAAATTATATCACCCCTTCAAAGATATTTCGTGACATTTTGTAAGTAGTTGAGTATAAACAGATTATGTAAAGAGATTTTTGTAGGTTGTTGATGAATGAGGTTTCTGGAGACAGGCTTATTGAAAGAACCTGGTTTCAGTTAAGCACTGGTACAGTTGGTGTGTTATCAGAGTACACTGAACTGCAGTGGTGAAAAGGACCTGAAAGGATGATCGATTTCAGAATGAGTAGTTCATTGTAGTATTTCACTGAAATACTGAAAAGCTTTTCTTTGTTACAGTTAGAGAAATTCTATCTTTTCTTCCTCAGTGGTCACTGGGAAACCATCTCATATTTTTAAATACTATTCTTTGGTTTATCAGTTTGCTAGAACACTTCTATTAGTCTCTTATAGGTTGCAAACACCCCTTATTTCTTCATTTTATATTTTTTTTTTTTTTCCCCTCAAAGGACATGCTTTCCAAACCCTGTTTTTATTGCTGTCATCAGGAAGGCTTCAATTTCTGAAGATGCTGTCTTTAGTTGAACAGTTGTAAAGCTATTGTATCACAACTGCTATCTGGGCTTGGAATAGTCACCTCTGTTTCTTAGAAGTGATATTTCTCCCTGCTTGGGCTGTTATCCTTTTGACTTAGGCTTTTAGCTTGAGGGTCACCATAACCTGTTTCACATTCTTTTCAGAAGGAAAAGTGCCACCAGGTCGTTTTCCCTCTGCATTACTACCTACCCTGTTCTTCCCTATTCTGCATCTGTGTGCTAGATTTCGTCTTGCACCATTTGTTCAGCATCCTGGCTTCACACCATTGCACTAGTCCGCTGAGATCATCTTGAATTTTATACCCCACTTCTGCATTTGCAATAGCTCTCAGCTTGATGCACCTGTTAAACCATAGTCTCCGTTTGGTCCCTCAAAATGAATAATCTTGGTTAGATAGGTTCCATAGACAGATAGATAGACTCCATAGAATAGATAGATTCCATAGGATAGATTCCATAGGATCTACCTTGAAATATCTTTCTGGTTTGCCAGTGTATTGTGAGTAATGACCTCGAGAGGGATAGGAATTTATTTTTTTTTCAAACCAATTACACAGGTAACATGACAATTTTCACCTCTTACTTCGTACGTCCTGAACAACAGGACACGTTGTTCAGAGTTAAAAGCTCTATTTTAAAGGAAATTAGATCAGTTCTACCACTTCCCCTTTATCTAGTAAAACAAGTTCCCTGTCGGACATGAAAACCGCATTCGAATCACCCCTCCTTCCTGTGAACTTCTGTCATCCTTTGAAAATCCCAGTAGATGGCACTCTGGATCTGTAACTCAGTGTTTCAAAGACGAGGAATCGCAATTGCGTCCTGTGCTGATTATTTTTAGTACTTGTTTCTTAAAGTTTGGTTCCTAAGCTGAAGATTAAAATTGCTGTAGCAGTGGAAGTCTTCTTGAAGCGGGTTTGGGTTCACACCACTAAAAAAAAAAAAATAATCTGGTAATCTTTCAACATATATATTCAGCAGATACAGAAGAGAAGCTGTGTGGAGATCCCATAGCAGTCTTTCAGTTCTGAAGGGGGCCTGCAAGGATTGCAGAGAGGGACTCTTTATCAGGGACTGTAGTGATAGCACAAGGAGTAATGAGTTCAAACTGACAGAGGGGAGATTTACATTAGACATTAGGAAGAAATTCTTTATTATGACTGTGGTGAGGCCCTGGCACAGGTTTTCCAGAGAAGGTGTGGCTGCCCCATCCCTGGCAGTGTTCAAGGCCAGGTTGAACAGGGCTTGGAGAAACCTGCTCTAGTGAAAGGTGTCTATGTAGCAAGAGGGTTGGAACTGGATGATCTTTGTAAGTAGATGGCCCTTTGTAACCCTGACCATTCTATGATTCTGTATTTGCAAAGTGCAGGTTTATATAGAATGCTATTGAGTGAATGAGCCTTCTTTGCAAGTGCGGCTGGAACATGTTCCAGTGTTGGCCATGTGATAGACTTGTGTATCCATGCCTGATGCATGAAGATGCAAAATAGGAAAAATAGAGGACTGGGGATCATTCTGCCATGTGTTCTCCCAGTCTGCGTATGGCCAACTCTAATTTAGATGAAGGATGGAGGTTGTTCTCTGATTAGGCAAACCATTATCACCATAATCGATAGGTCACCAAAAAAGGTCGTTTGTTTTAAAGACTTCAAGTAACATTAGCTCTGCTAATGGCATTAACTCTGGAATTCTGTTTCTGATTAGGTTTAAGTTGCCTGAAACAGTACCTCTCACTTAATTTTGATAGCATCACATGGCTGCAGTTGGGGTCTGCTGGCTGAGTGCTCTGCAGGCTCCTGCAATTGTTTGAGGAAAGAAGTCTGGGCCCTATTTTCTCTGGGGCCCAAGGCTGTGTCAGTGTGCTGCAGGCCTGCATTCAAAGTGCTGGGGCAGAGCATCTTGTAGAGGGTAATATCGAGGCTGCTAGTCCAAAGATTCACCACTCAGACAGGATGGACCAAATTGCTGCCTCCTACATTTTTGAGTGTTGTTTTCCTGATAATTAATTGTGTCAAGACAGTCAGTGGTGTTTAACCTCACCTATCTTGGCTTTGTCTTCAAAGGGTCTAATGCTTAGGATTCCAGTTAGCTCCATTCATCCAGAATTTTGGAGCTCCCTCTCAACTCTTCCTGACCTGTGAGCACTACCAAGCCTTCCAGGACAAAATAAAACAAGTTAGCTGAGCCACCTGGCAGTGGTTTGAACTGACTTGTTTGGCTTTGCCCTGGAACTAACTAGAAGTGCTTACACAGCCAGTTACTGGATCTCAGCTAGAAGGTGTTAACTAACAGCTGAGAAACAGAAAGGAACAGCTTTCTAAATGACTTGTGAACTGTATGCCCTCAGTGAGAGGCTTTCCTTGAGCCTGTTGGCTTTTCCTGAAAGAGACAAGGTGTGCTCCTTGTTCCAGTGGAGGGGTGCTATAAGAAGCTGCCATGTCTCACCTGCTAGCTAGTGTATTTCCTGCAAAGGTGTGTTCCTGCCTCTGCAGAACAGATGGGATTGCTGTGCCTGAAGGTGTCCAGTGAAGCCACCCAGTGTGCTTTGCAGGGGTGCTGCAAGTAGCTTGGGGTGGAAACTCCATTGTGGAACCTTTTTTTGTGGTGTACTTCAGAGAATGGGGAAGGCAGTTTGGCACACCAGAGTGTCTGACAGTGTTTGAAATACAACCCCCCTTTTTTCTCTTTCCTGTTAGTAAGCTGGTGTAGCAACCTGGTCTAGTGAAAGGTGACCCAGTCCATGGCAGGGAGGATGGAACTACATGAACTTTTTAGGTGCCTTCCAACCCAAAACATTCTATGATTCCATAATCTATTGTATCAAGTAAGGAAATTATAACAATTCTTATCAGTCCAATATTATTGTCTTTGAGAAGGATAGCAATGTTTGAACATGCGTCTTGCTCTTCACTTGATTTATTTGTGAATATGCACAGAGAACCACCAATAAAATAGATCATCCTGTTATCCAGGAGGTCATCTATACGCAAGATGAAGAGCTGTCTTGCAGACAGAAATATATATTTGGTTTAAGTGCATTGTGCTTAGAGTTCATACACATCCCCTCCAGTACTTACCTATTAAAAGAGTTCACAGAAACTACACGGTAAACCCGCTGGAATAATTTTTATTAAATAATTTTCTCTGGTAAACAGGGAAAACAGAGCTGCAAGGAGGTTAAAATCTGGGCTTGGCTTCCCCACTAATGACAAACTTGGGCCCCAGAATTTGCTGAGACAGAGATGACAGGCTCTTGCAAGTACGTTGGGTCATCCACCCACCCCTCCTTTCTGGTTGCTGCAGGGTACAGGTGCACTCCGACAGAAAGGCCTGTGTTGCCTTTGAGCTTTGCTCACGCAGAAGGCAGAGTAAGAGGGAGGGAGGTGTGGATAGTGTTATACACCTGTCCCACACAAATGCACTAGACCAGCATCTCCAAACCTTTCTTTCCTTGCACTGCTTGAAGAATATGCTCTGTAAGAGCACTGCAGCACTATTGGTGGTTTTCTTTCAGTGCTGAGTGGCCTTCTATAACCTGCCCACCTTGGACAATTTGTATTGAAAGAAAAGCTGTGTGGAAGCAGGGGTGCTATGGGTAGGTAGGATTGCCAGGGAGCCCATTCACTCCCATCTGCCGTGTGTCCCAGTGCAGGATATGCTGAATGATGTTCAGACACTGGCGCTTAATGGACCTTGAACAAATTTTTTACATGTATGGATTTGGTCACCTATCTCTAAGGCAGATGTTTCCATCCTGTTGTAATCCACCAGGAGACTTCTAGTCTTATGTATTGTATTATTCCTCAGTATTATCACTGGTGGGGTTTTACAAGTGGAGGAGGGACAGGATGCCTTTTTTCTCTGTTAGGCTTTGACAGTGTCATCACCGGGATAGGAGATTTGCTGCCCAGTGCATCAGCCCGAATGTTTTTGATGATAGCATCAAATTTTTCTCCTACTTGCCCTCTTCCCTAGAAAGGGGTTAGGCTCTGCGGGTGTTGCCTGACAAAATTCAGGAGGTGGGTGGGTGTGGTGAGATTTTTCTGGCTGCACCTCTCTGAAGGGTTACTGAGAGTGCAAAGGGCCCTCAATCCAAACAGGGAGCAGCCTGCATAAATGCAAGTAGAAGCAGAAGATTCTCCAAGGCAGCATGTTTCCTCTTTCTGGAGCAACTTGCCAGTTGAGAAGGAGATAATGTTGAAAAGCAGCTGGGCTGTTCTCTGTGTGTGTGCATGTAGCCAATCATCCTTCATGTGAGCCCATCAACCTCTTGGAAAGATGCAGTTTAAACCAGGTGTTGCTATTCATTTGCTGTCTGCACATCACAGTAAGGAAATGCAAGGGGAATTCATAAGCTAGTGAAAGGTTGTGTCTCTTACAGAGAAGAGGACCAGAATCTAGAGCTCATCCTTTACTTGTAATCTCATGTAATTTTACTTGTAATCTCTTTTCCAGTAGGATTCTGTACGTTCAAACCCCAAATATTGCTGCCTTCATGCTCCACAGTTCATCCTAATTTTAGTGGCTTCTTTCTGCCTCCCTTCAGTATTCAACCCAATGTCCTTTCTTGACTATATGTGCTTGCATGGCTCCTGACCATCTTCATCCTCCTGTCAAACTTGGAAGACATGGACAGACAGACATACCTATAGCATGAGTGCAAGCCCTCATTTTCTTGAGAAATCTTCCTCAAAAGAATGAAGTGTCCAACTGTAGCCTATTCTAAGGTACTGAGATGCCAAAGTCCAGCACTACATGGCACATAGTATTGAAAATAATGATGATCTAGACCTTGTATCACGTGTGGCACAGCAGACAAGTACTCTTAATGCTTAAGTGCTTTGTTGAACTGGAATTACAGTCAGCCTGTGGCACATGGAATATTTTCAACTGGAATGTCTCAAATTGTTGAGTCGAGTCCTGTAGTGTTTCAGGAATAGCTCAGGGAGCTGCTGACAGGTCAGACAAATTGGTGTTTTTCTACCTGTTGGCCATTCAAGCTGAGCTCCAAGCAGATCTCTGGGGCTTTGGGAAGGCCAGTGACATATCAAAGAATCTTGTTTAACTTGGCTATGGGTGAAGGCTGCAATTCCTTGTGAAGCTTGATAAACTCCTCTCATTCATAAACAGCATCTGCTTCTCTTCACTGACAGTTCCTACGATGACCTCTTGAAGGAAAGGGAGCAAGCATAGTTTTCTAAGATGCTGGTGATTGTTGTTGGAGCGATTGCAGGTGTGTGCAGAAGGCCAAAGCCAAGTGTGCTGGAGGAGCACCTGCATGCTACCATGCCTGAATACATCTGCTTTACCTATTTCTCTTTGCTTACCCAGCACTCATCGCAGATGGCACCATGTGGTGCATGGATTTCAGGGTACTCAGCTTCTGAGGTCTAAAGGACGTGGTTACATACTCTGCATGGACTAGGAAACCACGTGTATCTAGTTATTCTTCCTGGTACCTGATGTTAAGTACTACCAATACTTAACAGCATATAAAGGCTAGTGATTTTACTTCTGCTGGTCTCTACTCACTCGTATCTTCAGATCTCCTGTCTGTTTCTTCCAATGTATCCACCTTATGTCGATGCCCTCCCAATACACATTTTACCTCCTGTGAAAAAAGCCTATGTGCACCTGGATAGTAGTTTTGTTTGACTAGGGGCTTCCTGTAAAAGGCAACCAGAGGGCCTAGCCTACCCCTGTGGCGCAAGCTTTTAAAGTCCCATTATTGCTCTGAATCACACCTTCGTCACTACACCCTGAGTCATATATTAAAATAAAACTATGGGCAATAATAAAACCCAGTTATATGAATGTGTTTTTTATTAAAAGAGTTCTTAAATTTTTTTTATTACTGCTTTGAGGCCAACTCATCATCTTTTGTTATGTTCATTACAAAAGGTTTTGCTCCAATCCCTGTTAACTTGAAGGGAAGGGAGCACAACTCAGAGGGAGAAGTTCCTTGCTGGCATCCATTCTCTTGTCCTCAGCATGCCTCACAGTCTTCAACACAGCTACTCTACAAGAGCCCTCTGGGGTAGGTGCTGTTACAGGAGAGGTTGACCAGGCAAGTTTGCAGAAGACAACTCACAGAACAGGGGGGTCAGACTGAGTTCTCTATGTCTCATACCTAGCACTCTAGCTCATGGCCTCGACTGTTCCAAGTACTCCAGATATGAGCTACTGTCCTTTGTCAAGCAAATATGAAACGGTTTTTAAGCTTTGCCGATGTTAAGTCTGCTTTTATTCCCAGTAGAGCAAGAAGTCTTTGTCAGCTGCATAGTAGATGATGAGGTTGGAGGGAGGAAAATAAAGTAGGAGTCAGAAGGCTTTTTTATATTTGCCTATTTAAAAACCAGATTATTCCCATGTAAGAAGGAATAATCTTCAAGGGTGTGTTTTTGTTAAGTATTTGGCTCTGTAGGTTGGGGAATGGAGCCCTTTTCTTCCTAAGGCTTTGTAAACGGAAGTGTTTGTATCTTGACTGAAGCTTGAGAAAGTCCTTGTTGACCACACCAGTACCAGGACTTCTTGCTCAAACAAAAGCAGATAATCCATACCATTTTGTCTCACCCTAAAAGGTAGCCTAATGCACAAAAACTAAGAGGCGAATGTCTCTGCACCAATACTTTGCATCGGCATTGTTCCAAAATACAACAATTCCTCTGTGCACCTTTGACTACAACACCTTTTTTTTCTTTTCATGTGTCTCTGCTTTCTCTGATAGTAGCACAAGTTTTAGCCTGCGCTCAAGGAACAGTCTGACACTCAAGATCTTCCTCTACTGCAGAACAGGTTACTTTCTGCCATCCCTGTCACACGTTTATCTAGATCATCTGAATTACTTTTGGCTTGTAGAAGAGCTGGTGCTTCTGAGACTACAGCCTGAAGCTCTGATGAAGCTGCAGAAGTTGACCTCCTACTTACTCCATAGGGAGAGGGAGCTAAAATCTTCATTACAGATGCTGATGCTTTTTTTCTGAATCTTCTCATAGAGGAACAACAAAGAAAGATTTTTTTTTTTTTATGATGTGGGATTCTGAACATCTAAAATTCTGCTGCCACTAAACTTAAAGTTTATAGGGCACCCAACATGTCTGGTGTTGAGGACTTGCAGTGGTGAATGGCTTCCCAGTAGTCTTTGTATATCTACCTCTGTCTGTTTCTGGACATGTATTAAATAATTCCCCATCATCTGAAATGTGCTAAATGTTCCTTGACTGACCATCCACAGATCATTTTCATAGCGGTCCTCTGGTTTAGTGAATACATGTTGTGATATGGATTATTCTCTGTCACTGTACAGGATCTAAAATTGTGACAAATCCACTTGATCTCTGAGGATGGCATGTATTTTTAAAATGGTTTTTACCTGTAGACTCATTAAATCATGAGACATTTTCTGCTTCACTGCTAATAAATAGCAGCTCCTGTCAGGTAATCAAAAACCCAACAGACCAAGAAACTGGCTCTTGAAAGACACAATAGATCAACACGATAGCCTTGTGTGCACGAAATGCCTGGGAACTGGGCATAGTCTGAAAATAATGTATAGAATGGTTTAAACCTCTGGGCACAGATGTGAAATCCCTGCAGGTGTTTTATTGCCTGTTCCTCAGTAATTCAGCTGACTTTGTAAGGGTAATGCCTAGAGAGCTCCCATGGAAACGAGAACTAATGATAGGTAGAAATAGAGCTGAGGAGAAGCATGTTACAAAGGCTTCACAAAAACTCCCTAATCCTTGAGATCTAGCATATACTACTGAGGATATTGAATAATGGATTTGCTCACTGTACAAATATGAAGCTTGTTAGAGGCACCTTTCAATAACTGGCAGTCTGAAGCTGTTCATCCAGGCTTTAATGTCCACCCTTTTCAGTATTGAGTTATTGTATTAGGATATATAATCAAACTGAAATACTGGCTGCTTCACTCTTTCTGTTTCTGTGGTTTGTCAGACCTTCTGCATTTCTGAAGTGTATTTTTAAGGGAAGAAAACAATAGCTTTGGATCTGGGTGTTTCCCCACAGGGTAGGTGTCCGTGGTCTTTTGTGAGTAATCAGCCTGGTCCTGGGCACTCAGTACCTAACATTTTGCTTACAGTAAGTGGATGAATGACTTATATTCAAGGCAGTGGTGCCTGTGGGTAGGTAGAACAACTGGGAAATTCGGTTCTTAAAAATCTATAAAAATAGCTAAGAGGTGTAATGTACTGTAAAGCTGCCACATTAACACACACTGGGCCATCTTTTCACTGTTTTGATATGCAACAACAGTTTTATGATTGTTTCAGAAGGTGTTATAAAGCTTTGTTTCAACATGGATAATATTCCAAATCCAAATTTTGCTTCATTTTAATGTGGCTTCAGAAAACTAAAATTAGCTAGAGTGTATTTACATTTACCTTGCTTGTCACAATTACAAGGCAGGTGCAGAAATAGTAAGAGTTGGTTTCGTTTAATAGCAAATATTCGGCAATGCTTGTCCTATTTGTAAGTGAAAGGAGAACCAGACCTTGAGATGCACAATCACGAGCTTCAGTTTCTTGGCCTTTCTTTGCCTCTCTTTCCCCATGTCTCCATGGGGTCTCTCAGGAGAGCTAGTATAAGTCAACACTGAGAAGCACATCTACAAAAGTGTGTCAATCCCCAAAGCAACTGGGAGCAAGGTGGCCAGGTCTGTGTTGCAAGGTGACAAACACCAGTGCTGCTTTACTCCTGAGGCAGCAGCCGAAGGTGTGTTTGACCGTCGGAGATGTCTGTGCTCTGACTCTCAACATTTAGCTCTCCTTTGTTCCCCTGCAAACAAGCTCTTGGACTGTTCTTTCCATCCCTCTGCTGTCCTTCCTCCTCCTTTTCAGTGGAAGTGACTCTCTTGTTGACTTTGTGACTTTCATTATTCTCTTCTTCATGCTTTCCATTCTCTTCCTGTTGAGGGGCAGAGGAGGAGGTAGAAAAACGTCAAGGAGACTAGAAGCCATGATGAACTTGGGTTCAATGTGAAAAGATGCACAGCTTTTCCCCCACTAATAGCCACTGTAGAACAAATACTGGGGCCTTTCTTGTATTACTCTGTTATCCTCATGTTGTTTTGCAACAGTTCTCAGAGAAGAGGTAGCTCAGAAGCCATCAGAGATCCCTGTGCTCTTACCTGGACCTGTTGTCCAACTGGAAGATGCTTAGTCTAGAGTGAAAAGCAGCCCAAAAAAGGGGGCCAAGAGCAGAACAGTGACAACCTTAATAATGACTTGTCCTTTGCTGTCTGAAAGAGGAAACAGCTTTGAGTGATAAACTGGCCCCATGGTGTTCCCCTGAGAATGCATCCTACTTCTGCTCCTGTGTGGTTTTTGGTGGTGTGTGTGTTCTGTTGTGGTCAGAAGGATGAAGTTCTATTCTGTGACCCAGAAAGCCTGACTAGAACAGTGTCCAGTTCCTAACTGGACAGGAAGGACAGCTATAAGGAATGTTTATGGAACAGTTCTTGCTGTGCAGTCTATAAATACCACGTATGTATTTTTCTTTAGTTTAGGCTTGTGTCTGTCCAGCTGATGGTGTTGATCCTGTCCTGGGGCTCAGAGACAGAAAACAATGAACATTCAGGATATCCTGGAGAACTCAGACTCCCTAACATAGAGATTCCAACAAAGAGTCGGCTTAACTTTACGCATATATTTCCTGTCTTCATGTACTCTGCTTATTGCCAAACATATTTCTGGTGCTTAAAATAATGGTAAATTTACCTTTCAAGTAAGAAATTCCTTCTGAGCTACAGTTTTTGTATGACTGAGTTTGTATGAGAACCAAACAAATCAAATGTCCAAAGAAATCATGCTTAGTGTTTTAGTTCTAAAGATGGCAAATTACAATTATGATTCTTAGGGATGGTGAGAGGAGGGCTGGCTTATTGTTCTCTTGTAGGTGCCTGCACCACAGGCTGGAGAGGAAATAAGTAGGAGAGGCAAAAGAGACATTGCACACGTTCTTTGTCTTCTACTCAGAAATTAGCTCAGATCAGTGCTTTGCTCTGTAAAACAACTTGCATTTTTCTTTTCTGCACTCTTCCAAGAATGTATCTAAAACAGACAAACAATCAAGTCCCAAACAGCACCTCCCCCACCTCCAAAGAAGCCAAACACAAACCAACAACCCAGAACAACAAATCATGTTTGCAGAAAGTAGGCCTATTTCTGTTTTCTTTGTGTATGAAACTGTGCTTTCACTGTTGATAATGCAGCTGAATAAAGTATACCTGCTTTCCACTAGGTTAATAAAGTATCTATTGCTTCCTGGTAACTCAGAATCCTGGTGGGATTTCAGCTGCTTTTGCACCACTCTTCACCCGAATCAATCTCCTGTATTTCCCTTGGAGAGCAGATAGTATGTGGAAAGCATGTTTCAGGTTAGTATTTTCTAACTTTTTAAAAAATTCAAATATTGGTTTTAATCTGATTCTCCTACAAGAACACATAATATTCACAAAATCTGTTTCACTTAAAAGGCAGATGCATATAAAGTTTGCTTATAGGAGAGCCATTTCAGCTCTTCTAGTTCTGGCCCTATTGCAAGACTTGTGGAGGAGAACATAGGCCTTTGGTGTCTTAATTGCTTCAAAGCTTTAGTGCTGGAACAGTTGCAAAACTTTTCAGCTCTTTCAGTGTACTTGAATTTACTTTCACTTTGGGGATTTCTTGTTGTGGATCACTTGTACTAATGAAGGTTTTTGGTTTTGCGTTTTCCTTGCCAGCAGCACCTCTGAAGGAAAGTTCATCATGTAAGAAGTTTTAAATGCTAGATGAAATTCCAATAAAGAATTGGTAGATGAATGTTAACATGAGTGAAAGAGTTATTGCTGAGAATTCTGAAGTATTAAAAAACCCTAGAGGTGATTAACTTCAAACTCTTTCGAGACCACCGAATGACATTGAAGGCTCTGATTCAGTAAACAGTGCTTAATGCCATTAGATGCTGGCAAACTAAACATTAAACTCAGTAAGATATATTTGGAGGACTGGACCCCAAAAGTGATTCTCTGGCTTCATCTTGAGCTATGGGTAAATAGGTGTATACTATATGACAGCAAGGTTGCTGTAGTAATTATTCATTAGCTTTAAATAACAGGGTAATTATGAAGCTAAAATTCATATACCCCAACACACCCTTTTTTTGCTAGCTTTTCAATTTCTGAAGAATGCCTACAGCCTTTTCCTTTGTGTTGTAAAACAGGGCACAGCCCCTAGTTGTACACAGCTGTTTCTTTGCTTTTTGCATGCTCCTTGCAAGAACGTGAGCTGGGGTGAAAAGGTAACATGAATCAGGGAGGTGAGCACATGAAGAGAATAAAAATCAGTTCCTCCTGTGTCTCCAAGGATAATGAAGGTCACTCTTGTGCCCATAAACAAATGTATGCTGCACACAGAACTGGTTTCTCCCTGAAAAGTCCTGCATTATCTGGTTTTTCAATTTCTGTTCACTTCTATTGTGGGGCAAAAGGCAGCTAGCAGAACAGCAACAGAGAAGACGAGTGGCAATATTTTCGAAGGACAGGTCCCAGTCTCGTGATATCCTAGATACATAACCATCAGATGCTTTGGGTGGCATGGTATGACCAGTGAACTCATGTTACGTATGTGAAATAGGCAGAGTTTGAATGCTTCTGAATAAAGGGATTGGTTTATCTCATGTGGATTGAACCTAATTTATTATATTCAGAATCTCAGAATGAAGTCCATAAAAATTAATCTGTCCTTTTACCTGTAACTGGGGGCTGTTGCACAGGATACACTGCAGTTATGCTCCACACATTCTGTGTGACAGCTCTAGTTTACTGCATTCCTAATGGGCTGCTACAGTGCATGATACAGGGAGGCTGGCACAATGTGTGCTGTACAGCACCACAACCTGTACGTGCAGCAGAGGAAAGGTCTTCTGCAGCCATGTGGTCCTGTGCATAACCACACACTGACACAGCCTTGTGGTACACTTGCTGGGCTGCAAACCCCGTAACCCTGCATTGAACACCCGATGAAAGGGTAGATGATTCAGCAAGGGCAACATGTTCAGTGCTGTTCTCCCAGCTCACTTCTCAAAGGCAGGCTGCCACTGCCAGTTTCTTTTACTGAAGTCATCTGTTTTTGCTGTCTTTCACCCACCCGAGTGCTGCAATCGTTGGCTGTTTCTTGCACTGTGAACATCATATTGTAAACGGCCAGTGGAACATAATAGGGCTTATGCCTGGAAAGTTGGTTCAGGCCCTCACACAGGATATGATACGTAAGCTGTATCTTGTACATTGCAGATAAATTCCCAGTGCACTGGACTGTTGGATAAAATAGTCACCAACAGTGCCATAGTTGTTTGTCTTCAGACTGAACCTGAAGAAGGCATTTCTGGTAAGTGTGCTGTAGGATCTGAGAATGAGCTTTCTCAAGGAAATCAACAGGAGGATGCTGATTTGTAATCCCAGATACATCTTAGATGTGAGGCCCAGCCTAATGCCTAGTGCTCTTGCAAGTAAGATGTTTTTTTTCACCACCTGATAATAATTCTTGACAGTAGCAATGGCAAGGACCAAGGTGCTAGTAACACATACATGCTAATAAATTTGGGGCCAGTCACCTTAGGTGTTAGGCAACCACCCAAGATCTTGTGTGGAATCACCTATCACATTTTTCTGTTCTAGTGGAGGGGATGTGAGCCAAAAAGAGATCCATGTGGACCATAATACTGGTTTGTTCTGAACTTGAGAGCTGAAATAGTTCTAGTGTAACAGGCTAGTGCAATTTCTGGGCTGAATTGCGGAGGATGCTGGAGAGATGGACAGACTTGTAGGGAAGATATAAACTGTCAGAAACTTGAACTTTTGGGAGAAAACTGTTGCTGTCATGGGGAGTATGGGGAGCAGATCTGTGAGACCAACCATTTTAAAACAAAAGGGTTATTACAGACCTAAGTCTTGGACTCTAATGCAGGTATTTCAACAGTGAAGTACTTTGTTGCTGTAGTGTCTGAGTGCTCTAGCCTTGCACTGGGGCCCTTTTCATTATCCTGAGATATCCTATTATGTTGTAAAATCTGGTTTTAAGAAAAAGTTGAAAGAGTGGTATGGAAGCAGTCAGACGTTGGCAACAAATGTGCGTGGAAAAACTCCAAACAAATCTCCCCACTCCTCAATCCCAACAAAAAGTCCATTGGCATTGTCACAACTTAGAAAACTAACAACAGTAAGAGTCTAGGCCTGTAAGGAAAGGGAAGGCTTCTATCCAGGCAGCCTGAGCACGGTGACTCTTCTTTCTGATTCTGACCGTTTTGTTAGTGAAGCCCTGTCTTTGCCTGGTTCTGTGCCTCCTCTTACTCTCTGCCCTCAAAGCAGCACTTTTATTTTTAAACACTGGCAGCTTGGAAGAGAAATCTCACTAGGCTCTTCCAGTAACTCTCTCACTCTGCCTGCCTGCTCCACTGTGCCTTCCAGCAGAAATGGAGCACACTCAACCATGCAGCATCGTGTTTAGCTGTGTAGGGCCGGGCAGCTCAGTGTTTGACATCACAAGAGTATTGAAGACTTTCTTGAAATAGGGTTGGGATCTCTGTGAAATACACTAAACAATACTTTACACAACAGGAAAATGAAAACTGACATAGAAATAATTAGTTACAGATAACCTGTGGTAGTGTAGTTGTTTGTATTAAACCAAATATAGTGGGTAAGCTGTACATAAAATGCTATGAGGAAAAAGGGAAGATCAAAAACCCATACACTCTTTTATTGCACAATACTTGTGCATGTGTGAGATACATATAAATATGTACATTGCTTTCTTACGTGTATTCCTTGGACCTCACACTGTATCATTTCATAAACAGAATCTGTAAGTACCTATTGTATTGAGCCTTTAGTTATTTTTATTTCATAACACTAACATGTTGGTTTTTTTTTAAATAGTATCCATCTGAGAACATCTGAGAGCCAAGGAGCTCTTTGAGGGAAGCATGTTTACTTGTATTAGTGGATTACTTAGCCAATGGCCTCTGGTCCCATCACAAATTTTGCATTGTACCATCACAGAAACATTAAATCTTTATGAGGGCACCTAACACTTCAGACACAACTCTTGAGTCCTAGAGACAGAAGCTTTTACACTTGCAAAGTACATCTTCAGAACTTGAATGCCTAGGTTTGGATGCTGATGCTCATGGTGGACAACCAAAACACATTTTACTTCATAGGAGCTGTTGGTGCTCAGCATCTCTGAAAGACTATGACATTAGATGTCTCAGGCAGGATACTGTAAACTAGCACTTCCGTGGATCTTAGCCTCACACTGATAAAACTTGGCCCTGATGACTGCAAACTGTTGATGTATCAGGCAGGAACAGGAGCTTTTCTCAATGCCTTTCAGTGCTCTGTGTTAACCACAGAGTCATTATTCTTGTGTTGCTCTAATGAAATGGTTGACATGTCAATCCATTACTTCAGAGGTTAATGGCTACATGGAAAGTAATATAGCAGGCCCTTGTGGCAAAGCTGAAACCCTATCACATTATTTTCTTTCTGATCTCCTCAGTTGTGACAACTGCTGTGGAAAAGTTAAGAAAAAATTAAAAAAAGCTTTTTTTATCTTGATTTCTCTCAGTGAGGTTGGTCAGTGAACCCAGCATTTTTCCAGAGGAGGGAATCCAATTTTTTGTTGCTTTTCCTTTTAACTTGACTTCTGGTTTAAAAAAACCAACAACAAACCCCCAAAAAAACGGTGTGTGTAAGTTTCAATTACTTTATACATGGAAGTGAATAAATTTGGATTACAGACTCTGAGAAAACTGGGATTGTAAAAGCAGGACTGTCATAAAATGTGTGTCTGCTTATTAAACAGGATTAGTTCTGTTATACAAGAGTTCAGGTGTATCTAGCACAAGCAGAAAGCAAGCAATTTTCTCACTTTTAGAGGATGGCACCCAGTCTTAATCCTTGTGGTGTCCTGTACCAGTATAACATTACAGTTTCAGTTAAAAGCTCTATGCTTAAAAATAATGGAAAGCCACCCTCCTCATCTCCCACACTCCCTGCCACATGTAGAGACTGAACGAAGTTGCAAAAGATTTCAAACAGAAAAAGCTGCTGCTAGAGTGAAAAAAAGAGGAAGGTTTTATTGCTAAATTAGGAAGTTCATATGAAAGACGTTTTCCTCATGAAAAAATTGGTGTGAGGCAAGGTGATCTGCTATTGCAGTATAGCAGCTCTCAGCTCTTTGTCACTGACAGAGAGTTCTTCCAGTGTCACATTTTAGCTTTGGACATCATATACCTGGTACCTAGACAATAATAGCAAAGTATGAGTTTCCACGTGATGGTCTGAGTAGTAAGTGGGGATTCCATAGCAGCAATGTATTTGGCATAAGTGAATTACCAGCTTCTTCTAGCTCCATGGGTTTTTTTGGTCACCCCTTTTCCTTCTCGGGGGATGATGAATAGTATAGAGGAATCTGTATTACATTTTGCAGTCAAAATGTGTTCTATACAGATAATAATTAATTATGAATATATAGTATTAATTGAAAAAGTTTTCTATAACATTTTAGGGGTGAACAGCAATGATATAAATTCATCCAATTTCCCATTCTGCTTCTTTATAGTTTCATAAAGCAACTTAGAGTTTTCAAAGCGTGTTTCCTGAATCAGGACTTGTGTATTTATCATAAAGCTTATCAGCTTATTGTTACAGTGGTTTGTCATGTTGTTGGTTTTTTTTTGTTTGTTTGTTTTTTGTGCATTAGTTTACTTGTTCATTCCAGAATGCATGCTAAGGTTTTTTGGTGATGATTTCAGCTACTTGGTTTAATTAATTACGGTTTGCTCAAAAGCCACATGAAATAGCTGGTCTCCAACCCCCAAAAACTTAGGAAGAAAATAAAAATCAAACATCTTTATGCTTGTGGGTTATATTTACAAGATCCAGGAGTTCAGATAGCAAATGCTAAAAGACATTCCTCTGTGGAAAAGGAGGCTCAGCAAGGAATTATTTAATACTGTTCCATTTTTTCTTCTCAGAGTCATGCAACAGAAGGGCAAAGTCAGTGGTCACATGTTGAAACAAGAGATATTTCAGCTAGAAATGAGGAAAATAATTTCCATGAGGAGGGTGGTCCAATGCTGGAATAGGTTAATCAGACTGCAGAGTGTCCACTCTTGGGATGTTCAAAAGCTGAGCCTTGACCAGCCTGCTCTGTTGGCCCTGTGCTGAGAATAGGCGTTGGACTAGGGGCTCCAAATCTCACTTCCAAGTTCAGCCATTCTGTCATTTGTATGTGATTCTGTATATCTTAGTTCCATAAATGACTTACTATAGGCCAGATTTTCCAATACAGTGGCATGAAAGTACAAGATGTATGTTCTACTCACTATGATAAGTAGTTTCTCTAGGAAAAAGTGAGTGCATTCAGCATGCATACTTTTAAATAGAGTTATTCTTGTGTGTGTTATGTATTTCAGTTATTTTAAGCATAATGATTTGTCCTGTCTATTGTCATTCCCTTGATCTTTTCCTTTTATGAGTGTTTGCAATCAGATTTATAATTTTCTGCCCTGTTTTTCTTCATATAGGAAGGACCAACAGTGATTAGACTGCATTTAAGCCCTGTCAGTTTCAGTCGTTTGCCCAGCGGAAATTCTGTACGGTATAGGACTATGAAACTTGCATTTTCTTTGCAAATTAGAAAGAGCTTTCTCCCCATTTCCCATATGTCCACATCTGTGTACCAAATTCTTTATGAAAATCAATTACATTTTGAATGACACTGTCAAAACTGAGGTATCAGCATTCAGAATGGTTGGTTCTTAGAGATGATGTATTTTCCTTGGTGACCTGCAAATAATTGCTGTGATTGTTGTGTTTGCTAATAATTTTCAAATAATAAATCTGAGGCACATTTTAAAACTTTCACAGGCTTTTTCTTATGTTATGATTATTAATAAGTTTAGAAAAAGGACTGAAACCCTCCCCGCTCTTTTGCAGATGTTACATCTCTTGTAATGTGAAATGTTATTCTAATGCTTTAGAAAATGTTTATCTTTGGTTTAAGCAATTATCTGTTTGGCACCTTCTTTCTTTTTCACCCCCCACTATCTTTTCTCCTGTGGCTTCTTTAGTTTCCCTCCTCCTTTCCTGAGAACTGAGTAATAATAGAAAAGAAAAAGTCTCATTAAAATACAGTTAGTTAAATATGTATGTTTTAACAATTATTTCTAATGGAAAATTCTACTTGTGATGGCTGCTGCTATTATATGTATTTTGAAATCATTCTAGATTTGCAAAATGCATCTTGTGTGGACAGACAAAACCTTTCCCTTCCAGAGGTAATTTCTAGCCTGACGGTGCTTGATTCAACATGCTTAGGCTAT